CATTAGTTTCTTAAGCACCTGTCTATTATATTTATATTATACATTATCATCAAATAGTTTAGCCTGAATGACAGAGTTGCGTTCTTATTCTGTGGAGCTTTCTGAACGTTCTTTGCATTACTAAAAAGAAGCCTCTAGCTTAATGAATTAAATGTGTTGCATATAACTGTAAGTCTCATCTGGCCTGAGAAACATTGATTAATAAACTAAAAATAAGTAGTTGTATGGGTACAAGCAAGGATGGCTTCTTATGGTTTATTATGTATGAACAATTAAGTTCTTTATACAAATCCGTATGTAAGGTTAAAGCTTTAAGAGGTACAATGTCATAAAGCTGTGAAGATTTCTGGTACATTGGTCATCAGTGCAGATGTGAATGATAAATTAGAATTGTTTAAAAAAGGGCTGTTAAAAATTAACAAAATTTGATCATTGACTAAAACTGAAAATTAAAAATTTGATTAGATCCACCCAAACCTATTCTATTGAGGTAGAAGTCGAAAAGAAAAAGGAGATATTTCTCAGGGTTCATCCACACGTTCAGCTCATTGTTGTGCAGAGACTGTAGTAGAAGCCTAACATGTTTCGGTTATACTCACAATTCATGGCAGTGCGTGTAAATTAAGGTGAAAAGCAAAAAAGATTGCATGGAAGAAAGCCATATTAGAGCTGTAGTTCTGTGACTGAGCCCCAGCTCAGACAAGACAGTGGCCTCAAATACCTTGAGACTAAAAGTGCTCGCAACGTGAACTGAGAAGCAGCAGCTAGCATATAGAAAAATACAATTGTTGGAGCTTTTCACCTTTCAGTTGAGACCTTTATTGTATGAGGCTAAAGCACAAGTGATTTAGAAAACATGCACAGAGTACTATAAAGAGTACTGCCAGGGAAAGGTTGGAGAGCGAGAATGGAAGGAAGCCTTGACTGAAAAAGGTGAGGATGTATCATAGATGCGTTGAGACATGGGGAAGAACTGGAACTGGGTGGTATCTTCTAATCAGGGTCCAAATACTACTCTCCTAAAAACAATTGTAGATCTATGTTGTTGTTTGATCAGACTCACCTTACATCCAGTTAAATATGGTACACAACAGATGGAAAACAGAGGGTCTATTAGCCATGAATACAAATTAGAAATTAAGAAGGGTAAAAAGTTAATAAAGAAGCAAAAGACATAAGGAAAAGCTTATAAACTACAATATGAAAGAGATTTTTAACTACATCAAGAAGAAAAGAAATTCTAAAAATATTACTTGTTCCTTACTAGATTTCAATGATATATGGTAAATAATGCATCTTTCCCTTTTCTATTGAATAAATATATCTGCTCTCTATTTGAGGAATTAAATAAAATAATGTAGTCGTTGCACAGGCTGCTGATGAAATACTTTACACGCTACCAGTAAATCAGAAGTTGTAGCTCCCAAAGCTAGGTATTTTTAAAACATCAGATCTAACCAACTTTCTACCCCAAAGAGTGAAAAAACAAAAGGGTAAGAAGCTTCCTAGATTCTCAGTGTTGATTTCTAATATATCTTAGAACTATTAGGAAATTCCAGAGTTCTGAAAGGCAAGGAATTAAAGGAAAGCTAATATAGTGCTTTCATTTAAACGGGATACAGATGTGATGATTCCATTAATATGAGTTTGAAAATGACTCAGAGCAAACTAATGGAATAATTTAAGTGAGACTTGATTTATAGAAGATAATAAACAGAAAACAAGTAGCTCCAATTAACGTTAGTTTGTTGAAACTTGCCAAAATAATATGGTATCATTTCTGATGAGTTTAGAAGTTAGACTGATGGAGAGAACAGTGTTGAATTATTATTTAGCATTGCTGAAAACACTTTTCAGGCTCACAATACAGAAATACGCTAAAGATCTGAAGAGGTTTCACAGAAAATTTATAAATGGATTAGAAAAGATATCCTCTTATAAGAGGGTGCTCCAGGCATCTAGGATGTCCAGGAGAAGAGTTGGGACTGAATTAGTCATAGGGCACATGAAGGACAGATCTAAGATAAACGGCAGGCTCTTTGATATAGCAGAAAAAAATATCAAAATATCTATCGGCTAGAAATTAAGGAGTAGAATCAAGGCAAAAGTTCTACAGCGGTTGTAATGAATGCTTTGAACAAAGGATCAAACATTATGATTAATTCTCTGACACTGAGAGAGAATTAATTCACAGAAATCCTATGGCCTGTGATTTGTCAGTATATGCATATGTGTATAGTGACAGGACTCCTTTCTAACATCAAAAAAAAAGTAGAGTAAAAGATTTGTTCAATGTAAGAACGAGCAGGTTGACCAATTAATTACTATTGTCGTGCATTGGTAAAATAGGCATTAATTGCCTACATGTTAGGAGACCCATGTGATCCTTCTACCGGCTTCAGTAAATTCATTATCAGGCCATATTCATAATTATCTGCCAAAACTGTGAGAAAGAAACAGTTCATTCACTGCTTATGGTCTATTTGCTTAACTATGAGTTATTATTATTGTATCCTAGGAATTTTAATCAGAAAGGACTGTGAAATCATTCAGGTTTAACTGTTTTCTGGCCTAGATACTGCAGGGGATCAGAACATCCTTTACCAAGTCTAAACACCGCTTTTGGAGACTGAAATAGTCAAATAATTATTAGCAAATAATCAACAAGCAGAATTTCCATATCAATTTTCAGTCAAAGATGTATGTAAAGATTCTTGGAAATGTGGGAGTTTTCAAGTGAATATAGCAATACTATAAGTCACGGAGAACTTAACAGAGTGCTTTTAATTGGGAAATCTGTGCAGATGCAGTGCTGTGCAGGTATTTGACACGTTTATCTGACAGATAAGCAGATTTTTAAAAGTAAAATCTTTTGGGGTTTAATGTCAGGAAAGCAAAAGTATCCTTGGCTGATCAATTTAGAAGAAAGGAGTCCCAGTAAAGAGCAGAGTAAGAGCACTTAGAAGCAGTAAAGGAAGGCAAAATCACCAGCAGTAGAGCATGGTCAGACAAACGCGTGACTGAGCCAGAGCTGTTGAAAAGGTTACTGGCTTTTAGCCCAGATCAGAAACTAACAACTTATGGGCTCCAAATAACTGCAATGAGGAATTAGTTGGGTTAGGTTAAAACACCACTTAACGGCACCATAAACTATCACATTTACTTCTTATTAGAGTGAATCAGGATTATGCACACCGCCAGCTGCCAATTCTCTGCAAAGGGACATGGAGTGCCCAGTGGACTTTTACTCCTGCTGTGGAGTAACGTCGTCTGAAACAGCTCTTTTGTGTGTGCTTGTCAGTCCACACACTTGAACCACTGGATGAAGGCTTAAGCTCATCACTGTGGTGACCATTTAATTCCAGGATGTACTAACCATTTGCATGGTTAGAACAGTCTGCTTGAATAATATAAACCTATTATAGGACAGTAAACAATCATCTTGATGTATCTTAACCAGTCCAAAAATTCATAACGCTTACCCTTATCTGCTGTGGCTTTTCTTTTCCTTTTAGCGCTCATCAAGATCTTAATTTATTGTAAAAATGTCACCAGGATGTTGCATTCAGTTTTCCAAGATGCGGTGCCCAACTGTACTGATTTGATACTGAATTTACTTGCAGGCTTTCAAAAGTCTTAGAACTGATGAAAGATTAGCTCATGTTTGCTACTCCTTGTCATTTAGAATGAATCATTTCTGATGCTAGCTTTAAATTTGATATGAAAAACATATCTGAGGAAAATGGTTGCCTAATATCCGGAACATCTTACAGTTTAGGGATGCCGTAAATCTACATTGAATAGGGTTTTTGTGTAATGAAAAGTCAGATTTGAATTTAATTGCATGCTTTTACCAAAACAGCACTTTATCATATTACTGAAGGTTATATGTTAACCTTTTATTGTTTACTGCTTTGTCTTCTAAACATGCAGGCTTGATTGCAGGCTGCTTTGTTCTGTCACTCTAAGACAAACACTCTGAGCTTGCTTATTACTATTGACAAGAGGTTTAAACAGGTTGGCATAGCTATACTGTGATCAAAGAAGTAATCATTTGTGGAATGACAATGCACAGAACATTCACATTATGCACTGTGCTTTTATAGGTACTGCACATTAAACCGAATATCACACTTGGAAGAGATCATTCAGAACCAGAAACCAAGAATCATAATGCAACTTGCACTGTTTGACTGGCTATCAGGAAATTATAAAAATGATAGTGAAAGTTGGCATTATAACACTGATGTAAACGTTACTCCTGACACATTTTTAACTTGCCTTTCTGATTGTGTATTGAAATCTAGGTAACAGTGAACCTCCTGAAGTAGCAACACTAGCAAAAGGAACACTGTTATAAATCGGAGATCACTTAAGAGCAGAGGTGTATCTTATCTTCAGCTGTTGTTGATGTGCTTTTTGTAGTTATGTGTACATATTAGGACAGAGTAATTCTTAAGAAGAATAAAAGGAAATGGTATGAATTAACATTGCAATTTAAAAAGAGAGAGGGAGAAGCATTCATAATATGTAAAGGGAAGATCAAATACAAACAGTGGAAAAGTGCTCCCCAAAGCTGAAAAAGTGGAACAAAACCCACTTGGTTTTACTTTATTCAGGGGTCAACTGTTCTTTCTGTTTCAGTTTGCTCCCCTTTTCTAATCCCAAGTTAGCATTTAAGCACCAAGGTAGCTGCTCACCCAGGATAACCCTAGAGCAACTTGGAAGCACTTAGATGAGGATGGTTATTCTCCCTGACCCAGCAGTGAGACTCTTTGAGGGGGGAGTCAGATCTTATCATTACTGCTGCAGGTACCTGTCACGCTCATTAGCTTTGCTGGAAGTCTAGGAGGTTGAGTTAATTGCCTAAGGCTGGGAATACCTCTCTCAGTGTGTTGACTAAAGTAAGGTAATTTGAAAGAACCTGCAACCTTTTCTCCATGTGTACCTCAGTGCATCCACTCTCTCAGAAGACCTTTTTTCTGCTTGTATCCCTGTAGGGTGTAAGAGAGATGAACTGATGCGAAGGCCAGCATTCCAAAGATGGAGAGCAGAAGTGTAAAAGACAACCATTTTGTGAAGCACTGAAGTGAAAAGGACCAATCAGCATGGAAAGATCTCTGAATGCCAAAGGGCTCAGTAATTCCTGAGCTAATTCCTGAGAAATTCACCTAAAGAAAGAGTGAGGTGTTTTGGACTGAAATATCCTATTTCAATCCAGTCTCCTCAAGTGCATGAAACGTTCACCTTGGGGTTCCACAGCCAATATGCTCTGAATTTCTTCTCGTGGTAAAAAGTTGTATTGGAGCAAGCCCATCAGTATAATTCAAACAGAGAAAATGCCACATGGGCTTAGACCAATAATCAATCTAGGCTGGTATCCTCTAGTGGCCAACAACAGATGTTTCAGAGGGAGGTATGAAACCTCTGCAATGGGAAATTGTATAATGCCATGCAAGGATGTCTCTTCATCTTAGGCAAGTCTTGAAATATACTGGGAGTTTCTTGCAACGCATATAATGAGATGGACATTTTGCCTGCTCTGAGGTAGGAGCGACTGGGAAAGTGTTGCATTTTCATTCCCTCTGGGCATGCTGAAGGAGATATAGAAGCATTTGAATTCCACTGTAAAAATTTAGCTCTATATTTTTACCAGCCTGGGACTTTGGCACACTGAACTAGACCAGGCTGGTGGGCAGCTTGGAGCCAACTAACTTAGAAGTTACAGGAAAGGATGCTCCTCTAAACTTGTGGGAAAGTGAAATAACACAGTCCTTGAGTTAATGTTAAGTCTGACGGCTCTGTTCCACAAATTAGCCCAAGAAGAAAACATAAGATATAGCCATATTCACCCATGACAGATAAGAATGTCTTCTCATCTATCCTTCTAGATGCCACGCAAATACTGCATGTTACAGAATCACAGAATGGCTGAAGTTGGCTGGGACCAATGAAAGCATTTCATCCAGCTCCCTGGCTCAAGTAGGGTTGCCTAGAGCTCATTACTCAGGACGCTGTCCAGACAGCTTTTGAATATCTCCAAGGAAGGAGACTCCACAGCCTCTCTGGGCAACTTGTTCCAATGCTCAGTCACCCTCACACTAAATAATGTTTTCCTCATGTTCAGACAGAACTGCCTGTGTTGCAGTTTGTGCCCATTGCCTCTCATCCTATTGCTGGGCACCACTGAGAAGAGTCTGGTCCCATCCTTTTGACAGCCTCTCTTCAGATACTTATACACATTGATCAGATCCCCTTCAATCTTCTCTAGGCTGAAGAGTCACAGGCTTCTCAGACCTTTCCTCATATGAAAGATGCTCCAGGCCCTTAGCCCTTCACTGGATTCGCTCCAGGAGCTCCACGACTCTCTTGTACTGGGGAGCCCAGTACTGGGCACAGCAGTCCAGGTGAGGCCTTGCCAGGGTTCAGTAGACGGGGAGGATCACCTCCTTCGACCTGCTGGCAACGCTCAGCCTGATGCAGCCCAAGTTCCCATTGGCCTTCTTGGCCACAAAGGCACATTGCTGGATCATGCTCAACTTGCTGTCCACCACAGCTCCCAGGTCCTTCTTGGTGGAGCTGCTTTGCAGCAGGTCAGCCCCCAGCCTGCTCCTGGTGCCTGGGGTTATTCCTCCCCAGGTGCAGGACCCGGCACTTGCCTTTGTTGAATGTCACAAGGTTCTTCTCTGCCCATCTCTCCGGCCTGTCCAGGTCCCTCTGAACGGCAGCACAGCCTTCTGGTGTATCAGCCACTCCTCCCAGTTTAATATCATCAGCAACCTTGCTGAGAGTGCACTCTGTCCCTTCATATGGGTTATTAATGAATAAATTATCCCCATACTGTGTGACAGCCATATGTTGAAGAAGGAAAAATACTTCTTCAGATAGAGTGACTAACTCTTTATTATAAAAATCTAAACTGCAATTAAGAGAGGCAAGTAAGCAGTATTTTAATGCGGTGAAGCTTAACTCTTCAGTTTAATGAGAAATATAGGATATTTTGGCCATTATTTTATGCTGTTTTAAATTGTTACACCTTACTGTAATTTACATTACCTTCCTGCAGTAACTACAGATGAGCCAAACCTATGAGTTGAGCAAATCTGGTACGTATCCAAACTTATAGGTAGTTGGAGGACATTTTGCCTATCTGACACTGAAGAAGAGATAGCAGCTTTAAAAGGGTCACTAATTCACTAACTCACTTACTTACAATATATTTTTCTTGGAATATTCATTTTAGATACATATATGCCCTGGATTTGTTTATAACCCTTATTAACCTTACATTTAAATGATCAAATTGGCTTATATGCCAACTACTTACTGTATGTGCAAGTTTATGAGCAAAAAATACATAAATCCCTAGACATTAAAGATATCTGAACCTACTCCAAAATGCTTAGGAGTTGTTAGCGCTGCTGTCAAAAGGGGGAAAAAATTCTTTTAAGTGAAAGACATAAGAAAAAATTTTCTGTTGCTGCCTTTCTTGGTTACACAATCAGAGAAAAGTTTCACTAAAAGCCCATTAGGAAAAAAATAGAATATACACTCTTGCAGAAGCATAAGGGAGCCTGAAGGTCAGATGATCAAAGTATTTGCTATGACATTGTTCTCTGGACTGGAGTTTATATCTGTGATCAGCACCTTTTACGTGTGGCATAAGGGGGAACTCAGAGACAGAAGGGAATGCATTTTAGTACAGCTTTAACATCAGACTTTGCTGTTTTGCTTTTTAAAGACACGTGCAAATTGGCAGTATTTCTACATGCGTTTGGCTTTCTGGAGTCGCCTCCATGCAATAACACATTTCAAAAACGCTGGAATGTGGGAAGACCCTGGTGACCTCTAACTAGTCCCAATTGTATATGTTCCCTTGTCACCAATGTCCTTTACTGATAGAGCAGAACCTTTAGGTGACACTAGTTTGAGCTAGTTCTGTAAATAGAGGTGCTGGAACTGTGATTCACCATATTTGAAAATATTTGTAAATCCACGGCCTTCATACCTGTACAAACTCCCTTCTGATTTGTAGCTTAGTAGTACAAAGACAGAGCATGTATTACACATTGGTTTCTAATTGTACTTCTTGGATTGAATTTGATGTGCAGGGACATCAAGTAAGCACAGATTAAGCTACTCTGGTTTTCTGTTCTGCCTTAATTACCCTGCTGACTTGTACATTTCCCAATTGCTAAATAAGCTTGGTTAGTGGTGGATTTTGTGACATTGTTACACAAATGTTTTATTCTGTGGCATTGAATCAAAACATTAAAATCCTATATAAAAACAGCAAGAGAGGAAAAAAGTTTATGTATGTGAGGAATTCTGGCAGACCTTCTCCTAGTAATTATAGTTTACAAGGCTTCCATATGTACACCACTGATTTCTGCTATGAGTCTGAATATATGCATAGTGCAGACGTTGTTTAGAAGAGACCAGGAACTTACATAAACAGGTTTGCTAGTTACTGCATACTCCCAATAGCTGTTTATGAATGATACATTTTGAAATGACCAGACTATGTATGAAGTGACAGTTTCTCCTACTTCTCCCCTACTCCCTCTCAGGTACAGGTGAAGAAGGGAGCTAGTTAAAGTGCAATGAGAAGGGAGTATTTTAAATGTAAGGACGAAAAAAATCAATGAATGACAGGTATGGGAATGCACAGTATCTGCTGCAACAGAGTACGTCTGATCATTGTCTTCATTATCTGAACTGTACATCTGACATATCTCAAAAGCTGTACCATTTTAAATGCAGTTTACACTTTTCTGTTTTACCCAAACTGAGGAGTCCAGTCAGCTGTTAACGAAAACAGATACTATTTCGTACTGTGGAGACCTCCGCTGGTTTAATGGCAGCCTTCTGATGTGTTTGGAAATGGATGAAATGCTACTGAATTCTGAAAGAAGCCTACTATCTATTAGGAAGTCTTCCATAAAGGATGGAACACCATCTCTGAACAAAGATAAGTCTGTGATGATTTCTTATATGTATGTGTACAGTGATAAATGTTAATTTAAAAACCTGCATATAAAAAAGAAGAAACGGGCAAGTTTGTATGAGCAGTTCCAGAAGACGTAATTTTAATGATTTTTCTTATGATTTATCCACAGTACTTAAAAAATGACTACCCTGTTTAATGTATTTTAAAGTATAATTTCAGTGTTTACTGAACGCATTTAATGTTTTGTTCATCATTAGGAGTTTCATGGAGTAGATTTTTCTGTCTGAGAGGATAGTTAAGTTAAAAGTGTAATTCACTTGACTTTCTGAGAAAGAGGAGTAACATGAGTGAATAAACTGACCTTCACAACATATACATATATATTTATATATATATATAAAATAATAAAA